TTACCATGATTTCTGAGCTGGATGAGCTGAGTCCCTTCACACTCTTGACTGTTCTTAAAATATGATGTCTGAGGTATTTGTCTCTGAGAAAGCTGAGTCTTTGTTGCTCATGAATAAATTTTAAGTTGTGGCTGAAGGTGTTTGGAGCTTCCCTCTGGCACCTCCTTATTGCAGATACATAAAAATGTAGACAAGTGGGACTAGGTAGCAGATGATGACATTCAAGTTGATTGAAAATTGTGTCATAACCCTCTGGATTTTTCTTGTATAAGTAATTCTACATGGAAAAGTAGCAGGGGAAAAAAATAAAGGTAGAGTCCAAGGTAATCTGGGAGGCAGGTAATTGTTTATTCTTCATGAATTCTCCAGTTCATTGCGAAAAAAAAAAATCCTATAGCTGTTAGAAATCTGACCTTGTGCCCAGAAAATGTGTAAAAGCACAGCTGGCCCTGTCTGGGCTGGAAATTGCCTTTAAGACTAATGGCAATGGCTTTATTTCAAGAGAGTATTTAGCTTTAAAAAAAATGAATAGAGGCTGCATGTTCCAAATGTCATCTGTCAGTTTAACAAATGGCAACTGTATACACATCATAATGCCAGATTGCTGTTTCATTAGGCTCCTCGTGGGTTATTCCTTCTTGGTAGCTGGCGTTATTTCTAGCTGGAGCAGCAGAAAGGCAGGAGGGCAGGGGCTCTTCACCACCACTGTCTCACAGGTACGCAGTGCACCTCCTTGTTGCTTTCATGGGGCAGCAAGAGAGAAAAGAGGGTCAAAATACAAAATGCTCGACGAGATCAACAGGGAGGCACAGTCCTCGGTACAGCCAGGTTAAGCTCAGAATGGGACCAGGCGCAAAGGTATCTTGGAGTTAGGTTTGCAGTGCTGATGGCTGCTGAATAGCACTACCCAACGGTGGGCTGCAATGTGAAAGTCTGAAATCTGACTTTCAGGTGGGTGGCTCCAAGTGGGAGCACGCTGCAGGGTACAGAGGAGGGGTACAGACTCACCCTATCTGGACTAAGACCTTGCAGAAACTGAATAAACTTTCAGTACCATGCAGTGGAGTAAGCGCTGAGGAAACAGCCATGGCAAATTTTACCAGTCGCCTACAACCTTTTTCTGCTCAAATCTTGTCAATTTTTTTTCAGGAAAAACAAGGTTTGCAGGGAGATGGTATATACAAACACGTACTTATTTATTTTTGTTTTACTTTCACTAAGCGTGCGGAAAAAGCTGGTAAGCTTTTGAACTCGGTGTCCCTATGGCTCATTGTTGAAAAGCTTGCCTGTTTTTTCCGACTGTATCATTTGGCTTAATAAAAGATATTGCCTCTCCCTACAGATCTTGTTTCTCTTGCACAGTGTGGCTGCACAGATAATGGCAGTTGTTTATATCCTCACAAATTAATGTGACTGTAATGGCTACCTCTCAGACTTCAAAAGAGAAAGTAGGAATTGAAGTCAGGGGAAGCATCGATTTTTATCATGTTGCCTCTCTGCACAGAGAAAGCTCCAAAGGTGAGGAGTGCCACAACGAACCTTCCTCCCTGCATGTAAATGTGAAATCCTGACCTCAAGAAAACCAGTGGCCAGCCAACTTCCCCTCTAAGAGTGCTACAGTCTTGAGTCACCACCTAATTTTGGAAGTCCCTTCTTTATCCAGCAACACGAGCAGCCCCCAAGAGTGCCACAGCAGCTCTCTTCAGCCACCAAGCAACAACGAGCCCAGCCCACCTTGGGAAGGGCAGGGTTAATTACACCACGCTAAATGTTCAGGTCCATGGAGCCCTTTATTTTATCCCCCTGTTTTTTTTAATCTGTTAGATTTTTTTAAAAGACAAAAGGAAGGCTCCATGTGAAAACATCTCTATGGAAACATCCTAGGCTCACTTGCACTTGCCTGCCAAGTGACTACCTAACTGAAGTTTTACATCGTATTGGATCACTGTTGGCCATCTGCTCTCCTGCAAACTTCTCTGAATTCCTTATTTCCCTGAAAAGTTCATTTTTAGAAAGGAGGAAGGAGGAGGCAAGGGGAGAATCCGGCATTCTTGGCTAGCGCAGAGCTATTGTGAAAAAGGAAGATAAACTCACTTTGGGGCAGCCCCTTAAAAAGACAAACATCCATGTTTTGCAAGTAATTTCATAGAAAATACCCCGTTTCTAGATGCACCTTAATGATAAGAGTGTACTTCGGCAGCTACAAGGCAAAACAAGCAGCTGCTTCTAATACTCCCGCACTAATTGTCTTCCTCTCCCCTTCCCTCATTTAGAAGAAAATACATTTGACACTAAAATGTAACAGTTACTGCCTACACTGGAGCTGTTGGCTGCAGGCTCCCTAGCCCTGCTCCAAGTAAAACACAGAAATAGATTTCCTGCCAAGCACTGGGGAAGTTTGAAGACTTTAGTGTTTTTTAAAAAATATCATCTTTTTATCAGTGCCCTAAGCCTGCCAAAGGTAATTATGGGCCATGGTGCATTTACATTAATGCATAGGACCCACAGACATTTCAAAAGCTTAATGGAGAAACTCAATAGATGTACGTATCAAAAAATAAATTAATTAAATTAAACTGTCATGTAAAGAGATCACTTAATTTTGCAGAGCGGAAGGCGCTTTTAATGGGAATGGAATGGATCAGTGAGCATTTCAAAACCCAAAGCTGTAATTTAAATTCAGGCTCTTTGCTAGTGTGCAAGTCACAAGACATATTTATTATAGCCTTGGATTGTCAATTGTAATTGGTTTAGCAGAGACAAAGCAGTGTTGTTTTGCTTCCTTGCCCTCCTAGCTGGTTCAATATATTTTGATGTCAGACTATTGACAAGCAAACCAAAGGCTGAAATAAAATCATGTTTGCCTGTGATGAGCTGGCAAAAGTGCAGTCCAAGGTAAAGGAAATGCTGAAGCCTACATATTTATTTATCAAGCAGCAAGGGGAAAATAGCGATGTGAAGCATTTAAACTTCTTTAAATAAACCAGCTGAATATATTTACTGCTGCCCTTGAGGCCTGCTATGTGGCAACATAGACACAAATAGATAAAAATAAGTAAAAGCATCGTGAAAATGAATAACATCATTTATAAGCCACTGCTCAGAGTTTTCCAGGTGCCAATAACAATTAAAGTTGTTGCTCTTGACACTCCTTCAGGGCCAGAGCAAAGCCCAAGGCCTAGGGCCCCACTGAGCAGACAGCAACGTGTCTTCCAGGCTGTGCAGCCCAGCAGCTCTCGATTTCTGGTGTGCCCTGGTGTGGTTTGCTGCAGGATTTCACTTAGTAGCAGCAGTTTCAGATGAAGCCTCCTGCCTCCTCCCTGTGCCGAGCTTAGCCATGGAGATGTTTCTCTGAGCCTGAACCCAGAGCCTTCTGCCCAGGATCTCTGTCATTTCTGCTGCTGTGGTGGGAGCCTGGCGTTTACAGGGAGGGAGGACAGCGCTGCCGGGGGGGAGAGACAAGGAGACAGCCACACGTGTGCCAGCTGTAGAGAGGTCATGCCACGGCTCTGATAAGCAGCTTGACGTCAAACACGAGTTAATTTATTTCTGTTAGAAAAATACCTGCGCAGCTGAATGGATGAATACTATTTCTAAACTCTGAAAATAGCTATTATGGTAAAAAATGCTTCTTTCCTATGTCACTTTGTAAACAATAAGTAAATACACAAAATACAGGTGTTAAGCTATTGGAAGCAATGGTGACAAAGTAATCCTTTTAATTATCTTTAAAAAATGCTTTTGAAAGTGGTAATTCGAAATAGCTAAAAGATTTCATTATATTCAGGTTTTATATTCATAGAATTCTAACCACTTTTTTACATTAAAAAAAAATTAAGGCATTTTTCAAATTTCTGAGTATCATCTGAATAAGCTATGTACAGTTTCATGCTTAAAATATGTATCCATTAAGGGGTATATAATGAGGATTGAACTGTACTTGTATTCTTAATTCATTAGTGGAACTGTAAGGCCCTCTTCTGGATTATAAATTACTGCATGAGCAAGCAAAGTGCATGGAAATGACAAAGCCAAGCAATGCTACAAAAAGATAAACACCTCAAAGGTATTTTCTTCATACTATTACCAGTTTCATGTCCTGGTTTTCACAGGTATCTGCCCATCTCAGCTACTATCATTCAGTAGCTGAGAACAACTTCAACTTCTTAGCGGATTCTTAACAATAAAGCATTTCTTATGGTAATATTTATGACAGGAGCGGACACTCTAAAGAGAGTTGATGGAAAGCTTCTCCACAACTTTGGATGAAGATGCCATGCAGACAAGAGATGCTTGCTTATGCTTATTAGCAATAGCATACACAAACCAAGACAAGCAATTCTGCATATACACCTGCCTGCATATGTATGTGACTTCCAGAAGTTATGTCTGAAAATTTGGCTTATGCTAGAGGGGATATAAAAAACAAGGAGAAACCACTGCAATGGCCTCACCTCAAATCTTCAAGGACTGTACAATTCACAGAAACACAGAATGTCAGGAGTTGGAAGGGACCTCGAAAGATCATCCAGTCCAACCCCCCTGCCAGAGCAGGATCACCTAGAGATGGTAATTCCTTATGTGGTTTTTGATTAAACATACACATAAGGACTGTGAAGGTCTTACAAATGTAACCTTCCAGAAGATTTACTTGGATTTGCCTAAGCAAACATTGGAAAAGCAAGATGCTTCTCCACCGACAGAAGGAAGGAAAATATTCTAGAATGTGCTGCACAGAATGGCATCATTTTAATGGATCCATCTGGCTGTAAACAAGTGAACTTGAACCATACTTTTTCCTCTTTGTAAAAACAGCCACTTACTCTTCTGCTTGGTCATGTATGATAACAAGAAATCACATACAAATGCAGGAACATAAGCTTCCTATTAATAAAAACTCTGTACAGAACACCAGACCTAGTTTCATTGGACGGTTCATTTTTAAAAAGAAACCTTCATGTATCATTCTTGGTAAGTTTCTGTCTCCCATGAGCATAGGGCTATTTACGCTTGTCCTTTTTCCGTACTTTTGATTTTGGTGCTGCCAAAAGGAAAGAGAAAGGGAGAAAAAACATCGGAAGTGAATTACAGCCATACCAGTGCCAACATTCTTTTAAATTTGGTTGGGATCAAAATGGATCCATTAATGTGAAACCTACCATTGGGATTTTCTTGCCTGTAGAAAGCTTTTAACAGTTCCACTGCTTCTTCAGCACGATAGCCAGAAATGCACTGTTCAAATCAGAATGATGTTCATGAGCGCATCTGAGAATAACACATTCTGTGCTTCACAATAATGCCTTAAGTACAGAATAACTGTAAATAACTGTACTGTCTATTCCACTAATTTAACATGTACCTTTAACTATTTTGGTGGCAAAAAAATCTCCTTTTCAGGTTGAATACCTCATACATTTGAAAAATACTACGTTGAGGCTTAGTAAATAGATTCCCTAATAACTCAGTCAGGCAAAACAAACTTTCTTAGTAACTTATGTAAAATTTTTACGCCATCTCCCATTTCTTTCTTATTAATGTGTTTCTGACTTACTTCATATACTCTTGAAGCACTTGGAAATTTAAGAGACATACACCTTGACATTTGTAGATACAGTTCCTACCAGAAGACACACCTGCTATTTACTTTCTCCTCAGACACTCTGTTCTGAGTCCTTCAGTATCATTACTGCTCTGAAAGTTTCCTGGTATCTAAACTAAATCTCCTCCTCTACTTTTGCAGTCCATAATTTATTTTGGAATTTGAACTATATGAAGTAGATCTAAGCTAATGCATTTTACCTCATGTATGGATAGACTGGGAGCAAAAATACAACCATTTTCAGTGGTCCAGCTAAAAACCAGTAACTTAGTAAGTTGCTGCTACTTGACCTTTATTGATTGTTTGTACATTCTGCAGTTTAAAATAGTTTTCTCTCATCTCTTCCTGCAGCATACACTTACCGTTCTAAGTATTACATATCTTTAGATATATTTATTCGTTACCTTGTTCCACAAGTATAATTCTTTATTTTCCTCTTTGATACATACTTTTAAATATTTTAAGACTGTCATCAGGCTTTTCCTCAATTTTCTTTAATGTAAGGATTTCATTTTTTACATCATTTTCTTGTCAAGTTTACTTGACTTCTGATCATCTTTCATCTGAGTTCTCTCAAGCTGATGCATAACATTCAAAGAGCACAATAACAAAGCTAGGCACAGTACTCTAGCTGAGAAACAAAGGAAAACATTTTATAGCTTACTTCAAATGGATCTCCTGTGTCTACCATATCATCAGATGAGATGCTTAAAACTGAGCCACAGCCTCCAAATCGCTCATTTCGACAGCCATATATGACCCGTGGAATTTATGTGAATCAGTTAAGGTATTAAGTTAAAGTGAAAAGCAAGCAGAAAGTGAAGTAGTCTGATTTAAGTAGTCATTAGATTTCACTAAAATGTGCTTGTACTTTTCAAACTAAATTAGTTTGCACTACACTTCCTCCTTCATAAAATCAGAACTTACTTCTGAGTAAGGTAAGATGTACTGCTGAAGAGGCACATCCAACCTTCCTCAGAAAAGAAGCACAAATCCCAAAGCAGAAGCAGAAAAAGCCACGGTTTACTGACTGTTACAACTTTCAAAACTGAACACTGAACCGAGATTAGGTCATTTTACACAATAACAAATATCTATTTTTACATGCCTAAGGGAAATCGTTGTTTGTCAGAATTGCAACATTTCTCTTTCATTCTCGAGTCTCTCACTGTTTGCCATGCAGTAAATGGAGGTGGGTGCAGGTTCTCCAAGGGTGAGTTGGTAGCCCTGTTGGCTATCAGCATCAAGCCCTTCTCTGGGCTCACTGCCAAGACAGTAACATCTTGACATCTGGCTTCCCAGCACGAATAAGCACGAAAGGATACTCATCAAGCGCACGGCAGCTGCGCACATGATACAAGGCTCTACAGTTACGTACAGCAGCGAGTGTGCAAACACCTCTGTATAATCTCTGTTGTGTCGCTTGCACCAGTCGAGGACTTGATCGATTACAACCATTTCTGCATGTCGAGTAGCCTAGGAGATAAAAATAAACATTTTCTTAAAATTTGCACTGATTCACAGCTCTCAGCTTCTCACTTATACAAATGAAATAAAATACAATGCCATAAAATTATTCTTTCAAGTCAAAGGCACAATGGCCTGATATCTAATTTATTAATAATGCAATTATTTTCACTTTTGTTAAATAAGTAATATAACGCTTTCTTGAGAAGTATCTTCTTTTTTAGTGCACCTCTTTGCCGGTTCAAGTTTCAGAAGTTTCTGCAGCCCAAACTGCAGAAGAAATAGCCCCAGAAAGAACATACTCAACCTCAATCTCATATGTAGCACACACACAATCCACAAGTGCAAACCAGTTTTTAATGACACCTGTTCCTAGGCAGAGGAGTCTGCTCAGAAGTTCTCTCCTCTGTCATATCAGCACAGTAAGACAAGACCTGAAAGCTCTAACTGAGGCTTAAAGGACACACAAACCCCACTGTGCTTCCACGAGCAAGAATGCAGGCTGGGTTACTTTCCCTGGAAATATTGGGAAATTGCCCCTAGCTGGTACCTTTTCCTCCCTCTGACAATGTTACTGTGCCTGCATGGAATGAATACACTGTGAATATGCACTAATTCCAGTATGTTTCTGGAACTGCTTGGCCTACTGTGTAGACATGATATTTTCAGTTTGCATCAGGTTTAATGCTGCCAGGGAATACATAAACGTACACCAAGTCCCTCAAGTAACAGGCAGGGTTTGCAGCATATGGCTCGTTACAAAAAGACAGAGGAGTATTGATTTGTCCTTTTTTAATCCAAGACGACTGAATGAGGAGTGTCTCAGAGGTATGGCACAGAAACCTGAACAGAAAAGAAGCATTGACCTTAATTGCAGAGGGACAAAACCAACCAGTAATGTCCCAGCATCGCTCTGAAATGTCCGCAGGAGTATGTTTTGCCAATCAAACGCACAGGAAAAATATCACAAAGTACTAGCTATGAAAGAACTCTCCAGTTACAAAGCCTGATGCTTATTTGAATTAAGGCTGTTAGTATTTTCCTTCTTTTTAATCTGTCCTGAAAAAAGATGTTTTTGACACAGGCATTAGACTAAGACTTTGTCAATCCAAATTATATTTCTACCTCTGCTACACGTCTCTTTGTGTGACCTGAGGTAACTTCCTCTCAACACATGAACCTGAGTTAATGTTTTAGCACTGTGAAGATCTGTGCTGATACCTGTGAGATGCACTACATGGCAAAAGACTCAAGTATAAAGAAGTTAGTGGTAAGTTTAATACTGTTTAAACATGTTTTAAACTCCATACAGAGACCAACTACTCTACAGCTATTAACTCAGCAGATACAGTCATTAGTTTTCCAAGATAAGATGGCTACGATAGAGGTTTATAAAAATGAATAAAAATGTGGAAAAGCAAACAGTAAATTGTGATTTATTCTTTCTCATAACAAGCAGGCACCCAATGAAATTATCAGGCAGCAGATTTAAAACAAGCAAAAGGAAGTACTATTTCACAAAGCACATAATCAAATTGTGGAACTCATTGCCACAGGATGCTATGGAAGCCAAAATCATAAATGAGTTCAAAAAAGGTTTAGACAAATTCATGGAGGATATGTGCACAGACAGCTATCAGAAACAATGATCCAGATACAGTCTTGGGCTCTGGAAGTCCCTCAGCTACTCACTTTCAGAAGTGCAAAGGAAATGCAAGGTGAAGGTTTACACTACTCTCAACTAGTTTCTCAAGCTTCTTCCTTAAGCATCTACTGAAGGCCCCTCTTAAAGACAAGAAATGGGGCAAAACTGATCTTCTAAGTCTGTCTTATGATTTTATTTTGTATTAAGGTATGACTAGACAGTCTTCTTATTGACTTGCTCTGTGTAAAATAACATACAAAAATGATGATTTTTATTTTGAGCCACTGACTCAGTTCAAAAGCTTCTATAAGCCTCTAGTGTTTTTTAACTTGCCCGATCTTATATGTTATTTTTAAAGCCAAGAAAACAAGAGCAGGTAAGAGTAGCAAGGGAAAAAGAGAATTGGTAAGAGTGGCAAATGGTGTCCCAAGAAGAAATTACGTGAAGCTGATGTCAGTGGGCAAAAAGCCTTGACAAAGCCCTAAAATAGCACCCCAAACTCTGACAAATGTTTTATAGACAAATAAAGATACCATAGCTGCTCTGAAAAGCTTACCTTCTAAATCCTAGACAAGAATTAACCAGTGAGAGAAAAGGGGGCCAAAGCTCAAAGTTCCCTATTATCTTGTGGCTTCATTAGGAATTTAGAGTGCAGACAATACTTCGTTTTCAATTATCACATACTGTACTTGCACGATGATCTGGGCAAAGACACGTGCTGCAATCACCCAACAGGAGATGACAGAGGAGAAGCCCGCATGTATCAACAAGGGACCGAAGACAGAGCGAGTATTTTAGTGGGAAATGAATTATGGCATCACACAAGGGAATAAAGGAAGAAAAAAAAAAAAAAAAGAGTTGTGAAGTGTCACATGTTATAAGGATGAAAATTTTCAGGCTGGTCTGAGGAAAGACTGTGAGCAAGCAAGTGTGGGGGCTGCAGAAGGAACACAGCACTGGCTCATGCCCGTGAACATAAAGCCAGGCTGCTGAAAACAAGATTCTTACACAGACATTTGCTTCACCATTGCCCAATGAATACAAGTAATGACATGCCAAACTATTTTGAAATGCTGATGCCACAGCCATGCTCCTAAAAAAAGATAAAACAAACACAGCTGTGCATAAACTCCCTTCTTCCAATACCAACATTTTCCAGAAGAATGTGATGGTCATCAATAATTTTGCAAATAACTTCCATAAATTAAGCAGCAGTGTCTCTGACATGAATGTGTTCTGCTATGGACATGCAGGGTGACAGACTAAAAACATCTGAGAGCTTTCAGCAACTAAATCTTTTTGCCAAAATGAGCAGTTTAGGAACAGAACAAAACAGGGCATAAAGAAGACACTACCTGCTTCTAACTCCAGTCAGTCAGATCAGAGGATACAAGGACTTACTTAAGGAGAAGACGGAATTCATTTCACACAAAAGCAAATTGATTCCTGAGCAAGGAATTGTAGGGAAGGACTGCAGATCTGACTGCATAAACAATCACTTCTTAAAAGTGGAAAAAAAGTTTTCAAGAAGTTAAAAAAGCAAATATATTATAAAGCTACATTTTGTAGGTCAGAAAGCAAAGACTAAAGAAAGACTTGCCAAATGTCAACCTTGCAAAACAAATTCCATAAAAAGCAAAAATGTCTTGAGACAAAACATGTGAAAAAGGAGTTAGCGCTGCTACTTGAAATGAGGCTCAAATATAATTATTGTGTTACTCCCAAATGAAATCAACATTTTGCCTTTTCAATAAAAATGACAGAGAATGTGGTTGAAAGGCAGAGATTACTGCATATGAGACACAGAATAAGGACATTAAAATTATGGAATTGCCTTGGGCACAGAAGAGGGATGAGGAGCAAAACCACGCACACTGATAGATCGTCTCAGAAAAATACTGAAAAGCCTGTGCATGACACTGCTGATCTCATAGAAGTGCTTTTAATACATCAAGGGGGAGTATCCTGTGACTGAAACCTGTCAGAGCAAACAGAGTCACTGCAATGAAAAATAGGAAGGACATACAATTCTGACACTACAGATCCAGGAGAGTCTCAACAGCCAAACAGGCAGCATAACAAACTTTGAAGGCAGTATTATAAGGACTGGTCTATAAAAGGAAAATGAAACAAAGTACAATCTGGATTTACATAGGATAGTTGATGCTAAATTAACCTAGTAACTTTCTTTGACAAATGTTTTTTCTAGGCAAGAGAAACACCAATCTCCTCTCTCTGGACCTCCACAATGCATCTGGCACAGCACAACACATGAAATTACTGTCAGTCTGGGGAAAACAGCGTAGCACAAGAACTGTAAGGCAAGTGAACAAAGAAGAGAAATTGCATTGAAAGGGGAAGTATTTGTCCAGAGGGCACTAATTAGCAAGGATGCTCCATGATAATTTTGCTTACATGTTTTCAATTGTGACATTGGTATTAACAGGAGAAACGCCTACAGAAAACAGCTAATGATCAGAAGAGACTGGGTAGAGTGTCATTTAAGAGGTGAATGGCCTTATAGATGGGAGTAAAGAAATCAAAACAACAAATGAAGAATAAGAAAACAGCATAAAAGTCCAAGGAAGCTCCAGAAAAGATGAGTGGGCTTACTTCCAGGGAGAATGGGAAGTATTACTGTTATCAAACACGGCACAAGAGAAAGTCCATCTGGAATTAAGTATATGGTTCTGATTAACAGAATTCAAGAGAGCTGAATCAAAGCTGGAATGGATGTACAGAAGAATTATTAGAATGAACACAGAAAGCAAGCCTATCTTGTGAGAGGAGATTAAACAGCTGCCTCGGAGAAAACAGGGAAAACAAAAGCCAAAAGGGAATATGACTTTAAATACATTCAAGCCATGGATATAAAGGACAATGCTGGCATGAGAACAGAGACACAGAAATGGATCATAACATTTTAAAATGGGAAATCAGATGTTTTCTAGCTGTCTGAGGAATGATGTTCTACAGAAGTCCTCCAATGTGAGGGGGGGTGAGAAATTACTTTTAAAACAGACCTTGACAAATTTATGATGTCTGCTGGAACCACCTCAATGGTTCAAGAGGTTCCCCCCGTCCCGTCCCCCCCCGGACTGTTTCTAAATAATGCCAGAAATCCTTAAGAGAGAACTGAAAACAATTTCCTGCACTTACATTTCCCAGCAAGTGCCTCTTTCAAGCTCACATAATCTTTTAGACTATATGGAACAATAAAGCATCTGATACAAAATTTAGAAGCACTGAGTACCCAGCATTTCCAATCACTGTAACATAAGTATGTATGAAAATTAAGCTACAAAAGAAATCAAACTTTAGCTAAATAGAAACTGAAAAAAGGCTTGACTTTCAAAGATATTAAGAGTTTATTAAAATACAGGTGATTTTTAAAAAATCAGGCTACTTGGGTTTAAGCACATACCTTCAGAAAACCCTGATGTTAACATCAAAAAAGCCTGAGAGCTTCCCTAGTATTTTTTATTCTGATTTTGTTATCAGTCTCATCAGTTATGTTCTGCCTGTTTATTAATGTGTGATTTTTTTATACAGTATTAATATTTTTGGTATTATTTTCAAAAGAAGCATCTGCTTCTCCAGTGTTTGCACTGATTTAACTTGAAATACCTAGCTTCTCTGTCATCTGGCTTTCTTGAGTTGTGTTAGAATTATCTTAACACATCATGGATTGTCCTGCAGCACAAATTAGTATGATTCATCTTGACTGTTACAGTTTTGAGCTTAAAAGACTCATTTCCACCTTTTATTGTATCTACAGATTTGTAATAGAAATTACAGCCAGATTCTGCACTCAGATTCATTTACACAAAACTTCCAGCCGCGCAAAATCCCTGCGGGCTTTAGTGGGTCTCGCAGCATGTACAAAATCTACTTTGACGGCTAAAATTGCAAGCATCGGGTCTGAATTTCCGTGAACTCACGTTCTTCGTCTCGTTGACCTCGTTCCTACCCCTCCCTATAACCTCGCCGTTGTGCACCAGGAGGCAACCGACGGGAACCTCCCCATTCTCCAGCGCGTCTTTAGCCTGCAAGACAGACAGACACAAGGGACAGGACTGCGTTACCTGTGGGACGCACAACCTCCC